ATTCGATACAATTTTATGACTCAGTTTTTCTCTTCGTCATATATGAATAAATTGAAAATATTTTGCTACTGATAAAACTGCAATATCTGCTAAAATATATAATTATGTTTATATAAAAAGAAAGAGAACTATACGGATTTAAATTAATGTTAATTTTGTTATTTAGGATCCGTGATAGCTCAGTGTCCGGGCGCTCGCCTCTAATTCAATGTACTCCAGCAACCCGAGTTCGATCCCCGATGCCGGCACCAATGAAACTGTTGACTTAGGTATCACGTGCTTAGCGGTGAAGGAAAAAATCTTGACCTGCATATTTTCAAAATAATAACAAAAAAAATATTTCGAAGATATGTGAAGTCCACCAATCCGCAGTCGAGTCGCGTGATAAACTATGCCCTGATACCCTTTGTACAGAGGAGGCCTTTGCCCAGCAGTGGGACATGAGTGACAGTGGGCTGTTTTTACGTTTTTTTGTTAATTTCATTTAAAATTACATTTATTACATTTGAATCTAAATTGATATAAAATAAATTAAACTAAATTAATAAATTACCTTATTTCTTTCGTATGATACACGGCGATTACAATCAAAGTCACCTTTAGTCAAGATAAGGTTCCCTGATAACGTGGTTTGAAATGTCTTATGAAGGTTGTCCAAAGTTAAGATTAATAATTTTGCATATAACGAGAAAAATACACAGCTTAAGTAACGTTGCAAGTAATCTAACGTATGTATGAGGGAAATATGAAAAACGGATCTTTAAAATGAATAATGATAATATAAAAATATAATAAAGCTATAGAGTTTTTTTGAACGCGCTAATCTCTGGAACTACCAGTTGGTTTTGAAAAATTCTTTTTGAATTTGATAGCCCAATTTTTAAGGAAGGTTTTAAATTATTTAACATCACGATACGACCTACGGGCGCCAAGCAGAAATGTTTTTAGCGGAGGAAATCGCATGAAACAGCTAGTCAAATTATAAAGTAAAATGTTGTGTGTTGAAACGCGTTATTATCGCGATTCTTGAATTATTATAATTATTATACATCCTGGGTATAGAAAATTACAGAACGTATAGCGTCTTTGTTTTATATATTTTTATATTTGGAGGATAGTGGAGCAATCGTGTGAGTAGCCATGTTGCCACACACAGCTTAAAAATATTGAACAGCTATAAGTGTTTGTCTATGTGTAAAATAAAAATAATTAAAAATTTGTAAGGTATGACATATTCTCGCCTGTTACGTAAATAGCTAGGAAGAAAGTAAATACAGTAACAATAATTAAATTGTTAAAAATTTGCTGACGTTTGGCAGAATTCCATAAAACCCGTAAACGTGTTTCACAAACATCGCGGTTAACAACGGATAGGAATAGCACAATAATTGTGCCTACCATATCTCTTGTTTCAACCACAGAGATAAAGCACACCGATTCTGGAAAACCACGATAATTTTAAAATTTTCCTCCATTATTTTATATTTTAGTAGCTGTACACCGATATGATTTGAAATTCGTAACAGATTTATCATATAATTTTAAAGTTGAATATAACTTGCATTAAGCACATGTTTTGAAAATGCAAAAGCACGTATGCAATAATAATGATTCTCATTATGCTTGTATTTATATCCGTTTTTTTTCCAAGTGTTAACCGTCTATGCATTATAAACAAACATCTCATGATTTCGTTATAAATAAATATTGTTAAGTAGATCGACATACAGTTACAGAGGGTCCCTTGTTCTCTATCCATTCCTCTATCTGCTACGAGTGGGAAAAGAGAGTAACTCAATACAGAAATATATTTATATACTTAATGTTTATTGTTTTAAAATGTTCTTGATAGTTAATATTAAATATTACCGTAATGAAATAATCGATTGAATAGTAAATAAAAATTTTATACACTACTAAAAGGTAAAGAAAAATATTGTAATATAAAAAAATACATACAGAATAGTTAAAAATAATATCTTAAACAAAAAATGGAACTTTGGAGGCGCCGGGTATCGATCCCGGTACCTCTCGCATGCTAAGCGAGCGCTCTACCATCTGAGCTACGCCCCCATTGAAATTCAATACGAAATTTACAAACAGTATTGTGCAGGAACAATTTCTTGAAACTATATTTTTATATAGGTTAAAGTATTTTGGAAGTCAAAAATATACGAAATATAGACTAATATTTCACCTTATCGTGTATAAACGTAACATTATTAGGTTTAAGACAATGCCATATCTTAAAATATGATATTTATATAAATTCAATATTTTTATAGATATGATTGTATCTATATAGAATGCTTATATAGAAATAAACATATTGATTTTTATTATTATCGGAAATTATAAAGAAGCTTTGTTTGGAAAAGTAAAACGACAGTGACATCTTTTGGCAGACATCGAAATTTTCCTTCTGTTATTTTTTATCCTGTACAATGATCAAATTCAGTGATACTATAAACAATTGTCACCTAGGCCTATTGGATCTAAAAGAAAGATTAATAAAAAAAGACTTTAAATTTCTTTATAACACGTATTAACTAAATGACAGCCAAAATTTAGAAAGAGGTGAGGCGCTGAACGCCATCTTGCAATTTGTTAGAGTAAACTTAAACATCATTAAAGGCTGTTGCTAATACCGGTTTTTTATATACTTTAAGCAGGTATTGTTAATAACTTCGTAAATTGGCGGCCAATCTTCACAAACTTCGAATGCCTTTTTGTAGCTTGCAGCAATGAAAAAAAAAAAAGTAAGAAAGCAGCTTACTTATATTTTATATATGGAATCTTTTCAATGGAGAAACTAAGTCTTATATGATTTCAGTATTGTTTCAAGCCTTGGCTGACAAACCGAGGGTATTGACAATTTATTTTTTTAACAGAAAATTGTTTGCATAATGTACGTAGAAGGTATATCAACAGGCGTTTAGGTATTAAAGAGTGACTATTAATTATTTAATAACGGTAAAAGAATACGCTTAACTTTTAAGAATATACTTCTAAACTTCACACCTTATACTTATTTGGTCTATTTAAATATTACAAAGCCATGTTCTCTTTTTAAATAAATTCAGACAATGGTACGGTTAAAATAGTTGGCGGCGACATTTTATGGTTTTTCCTTATTATGTCAATTGCATATGACCTAAAAAAACGTTTTAGCGATTATCGGCTGTTGTACGAATGGGCCGGCCTGTCCGGGTAAGTACCAGGAACTCACAGAAGACCAGCGTAAAGTGAAAGTATGACAAATACTTTCGCGTTTCGTTTGGTGAGTGAGGTGGCCGGTGCCCAATTTTCAAAAGGTTGTCAACGCATCTGCAAACCCTCGGGTGTAGCAGATGTCCATGGGCGGCGGTATTCACTTAACATCAAGTGAAACCCTCTGCTCGTTTGACAACTTTTCGCATAAAAAAAAAAGTAATTATTTACCGGGCCGGTTTTTGTATAAAAATATTTTTATTCGATCTAGGAGCAGGTCGTCACGGAATGCGCGATGGCTACATGTGGCTCAGGATAGTGTTTCGTGGCAGTCTGAGGGGGAGGCTTATGTTCAGCAGTGTACTCTAAAAGACTGAAACGATGATGATTTATTGCTTCAGTAATATTTCCTATATTACTGAAGCAATAAATGTAAAAATTTGCGCCGACATTTAGATTTTGAGGAAAAATTATAAATCGTGCAATGTTTAGGAAATCGGCCATTACGAGTAAAAAAATAATTTTTATCAATAATTTCAAGATGGAACTCACGTTTTTACTTTCTACATTGATACTTAAACGTTCATAAATTAAGATAAATCAGGTCAACGTTCATTTATTTCCAACAATTAATATATTAAAAAATGTGCGAAAACTTGCGTGCCGCTAATGTAATACCTAAATACATTATCAGAAAATCAATAATTAAAACACTCATATATGAAAATAAAAATGTTTATTTGATATATAATCTTATTATTATAACATAACCATTACCTTTTTAAAGTATATAACATTGATCGACTTAAAATTATCAACGAGAATTTTAAATCATATAAAACTAAAGGCAGTGAATGATGATCAATTTTAAAAAGATCAATAAAAAAATCCAAATACAATTTCTTAAGAACTAGTTGTACATAAAATCCATAGATACCCTGTGTATATTTATGTTCTTTCGAACGCTAACAGTAAACTTTTATGCCTTAAAATTCTTACACACTTAAGTAATAAAGATCCTATAAGCTTAAAATATTCATCATGAATTTGGCTGAACTGAACAAAAGCTGCCAAGGTTGGGCATTATAAAAGGAACCCCATAATTTCTTCAATCTAATTTTCATAACTTCAAAGGGAAAAAAGTATTTCAAATACAGAAGAGGAACGATTGAAATGATTGCCGCGCTCATAAAAATGTATCTACTCCTTCTATGAAATTGTTGGATGGCTTCTATGAAGTGGTACTCCCCCGGCCAAGTTAATTCATCTATATATCTATCTATCTATCTATATCTATCTATATATACACATATATAATTCTGTTGTACCTATGTCACTGAACTCTGCTACTGCTACTCTCTACACGGCTGGACCGATTTTAGTGAAATTTTTTGTGTGTGTTATATTTTTAAGTCAAGTGTACAGGACAACTTCTGTTGGGTCCGCTAATATTATATAAACTTGAGAAAACGCATCAAAGCTACTCTGAAGTTGGCCTAAGTTATTTACACGCAATTGTCAACAGGAACAAGTATTGCCATCTCTCTCTATTTAACGGCCGATTTTAATATTCAAACAGATAGGTTTGGTTACTAGCGACAGGTATTTGACATTAGGTCCATAACACTTACGTCAAAACTCTCCTGTAACCAAATCTATCTGTAGATAGAACATAGAAACCTGCCTCTGGTAATGCGTAATCGCGTAATTACAACAAATGATAAAGTTATAACTGGACTTCTGTTCTCCGATCAGCCAAATTCGTTCGAGTTTCGCACGTTGCGAGTTCAGCTTTCGCCGTCGAGGGCCACTATTAGCGCCCCCTTCGCCACGGCGTCCCCTGGCGCCGCCGCCGTCAGCTCGGACACTACTCCGTCGCGGGGCGAGCGCACCACGTACTCCATCTTCATCGCGATCACAACGAAGAGGGGCTGCCCTTTGACCACCTGGAACAGCACGATCCGTACTTCGAAAGGGAAGTTCAACAGAACCATCCCTCATTCGAAAGAGTGATTCGCATACGTGACAGATGGCGCCACACGTCGGTGGACGTCTGCAACATCGAAACGGTCGCTGGTGCGTCACCAACCGTCAAGTTACCTTCATTTTTAGGGTTCCGTACTCAAAAAGTAAACGGGACCCTATTACTAGCTAAGACTCCGCTGTCTGTCTGTCCGTCTGTCTCTAGAGAAACAAAGAGTTACTACCGTTAATGTCAAATATTATAGGTTTAAAAAGTTTTATTCTCATAAGCACTTAAACATACAATTCACTTATAATGGTATCTCCAACGAAATATTTTAGAAAACATAAGTTTTTTTTAATTCCGGACCGTTGGATACAACCTATTATAAGTTATCTAATGTAGAAACAGCTTTTGAAGTTTCTGCCTTATACGTTTTTATATTGTCACAATCATTAATTACATTTAGTAATTTTTTAAACAGCTGACATGATCTCGCGCTCTATATTTGTTAAACCTATCTTGTACCTTCCGTACGTTACATTCAGGTCATCAAGAAGATCATTCTGGTCAATTTAAAGAGTTTAACCATCCTATTGGCAACTGAAATGACATTTGGAGAGCTAGTCTAGCTAGAGCTAGATTAGTTAATTTCTACGATGATCAGTGTTTCAGAAACCGGGCGTAAACTTTGTGCTTTATTAACGTTCAATACGTGTGTATCAAAAGATAGCGAGTAGACGAAGAAAGGAAAACCACGCGGATAACGTAGCCCACTATGTGTGGATAATAGCCCATCGGAAATACTTCGAACAGCTGTTCGCTTTGCTCCAAGTCCGCCTCAAAGGCAAGTACAAGTACGTGTAATTACAATGACTATTAAAGAGCAATTGCGACACCGTTCACCGCCGCCTACTAATTATGCTTACTGGCAATTTCGCTAATAAGGCGCACCCCGCTCGGGCTAAAACATAAGTGACTTGGTTTAACGACGGGAAGTCGAAAACATTTCTCTCTCATTCCGCGAATTGGGAACAGTGATTCTAATTGCTGTTATTTGTAATGTAATAATTAGCCCTTAACGGCTGAATTCTGTGCGATAATCAATAGCTGTAATTCGACTTATACGTATAACAATTACGGTGTAAATGAACAAAAACTTTCGGTGCTGCTGGATTCGAACCCGTGTCTTCTGTAATCGCGCCCAGCCGCTTTAACAATTAAGCTAAGCAGCCGATGAACTCGCGGCGCAAAAATCCCGACATTATTGCTACCTATTTCCTGAATGATAGCATGTCGAACGAATGCACATATCGAATGATATAAAAAGGATAGCGTAACGTAATTAAAGCAATAAGAAAAAAGAGGACGGAAAGTGTTTATCACTTTAGCTTAAGTGTAAAAGATCTCGAGGTGAGTCTGTCTTTGTAGTCCCCGTATTAAACTTATTAGCTACCTCTTTCTTTGTTTTCTAGCCTACACTAATTATAATATTAGGAAAATATTTGAAATACGCTAACAAATCGAAGATATATTTCATTATCAACATGATATGAGATCCCTTGAATTTTAGAGACGTCCTTCTTTTAAAGACCCTCGACGGCATTTTTATTTTAATGTAACATTTTTGACACTGAATCTAATTCGCCGCCGTGGTCTAAATACGAGACGTTACAATTGGGTTGTTTAAGTGGCTTTACTTCTGTCGCGCTAACAAAATATCTGTAGTATAATATATCATCGCTAGCAGATAAGATTAATCATAAATTGTCTAACATTTTATTAAACTTTTATATTCTTAAGTAATTTACACTTCCGCCATTGCACGAATGGCACGCAGGCTCGTCCGAGAAGATATCACAGTTTTACAGAAGAACGGAGTTAAGTAGAAGTGTTTTATACTTCTGCATACAGCCGGGGCCTACTTTATTAAAAAGTCGAAAGGCATCTGCAAACCTACAGGTGTTGCAGATTTCAATGAATGGCGTTTATCACTTAAAATCAGATGAACTCGCATGACACCTTCGGACACAAAAAAAATGTAGTTTTGGGTTTGGTCTGGTGAACATGGCAATCGGGATACACTTTTCTCGTTCCACTACTTTTGGATTTACGGTAGTCCACGATTTTTGTAGACTTCCATTACGGCTGTAATTACCTAACATGAGGTAAACCGGATCCATCAAGGTATATCAAGTGCTCAACGCTGAAGGAAAACATCGTGAGGAAACTTGGATATTCTCTAAACAATAACAAAAAAAATATTTCGAAGACATGTGAAGTCCGCCAATCAGCAGTAGGGCCGCGTGGTGGACTATGCCGTGATACCCTCTGTACAAAGAAAGCCTGTGCCCAGCGGTGGGACATGTATAGGCTGTTACTTACTTTACTTTTTTAAACCGTCTGCTCGCTCGTCGCCTCATCACAGAAAAGTGTCGATGGCCGTACATTGACGGAGAATTTATAGAACGGTTTCCTTGCCTTGTCCCCTTTGCTGACTAGTATCCTCTCCAATACGCCAGGCGTCGGAGAGCAGGCGCTGTCAGCGGAAGCGGTCTCATCTCCACCCGCCGCCGCTTGGTACTTGGGCTGCGGCAAATGGAGCACCGTCTGTCCACTCTGGAAAAAAAGAGTTAAGTATCAATCTTGATGCGTCGATCGAAGAGCAAAAATCCAGGGTAAGCTTAAATAGCAACCAGTACTAATCTAATATATAAAATTCTCGTGTCACGGTGTTTGTAATTGAACTCCTCCGCAACGGCTCGACCGCTTTTCGTGAATCTTAGCGTGCATATCGGCCACGGTGGGGAATCGGACAACATCTATTTTTCATCCCCCTAAATGTTAAGGGTGGTCCACCCCAAATATTCTTTTCTACCCTACAAATTCCTTAGAAATAATTTATATGGCAAGTCAACGTTTGCCGTGTCAGCTAGTTATATATATATTTTACCTCATCATAAATGTGCACTTCCTGGTCGTACGTCAGCAGGCCCACATTGCTGGTCCTGTCTTCGACCCTAGTGATGAGCCTGAGCCCTTGTTCAGTGGATTTGAGGTACGCCTCGACCCGCCGCCATTCACCGTCGTCCACTTGCACTCTGTACGTGTTGGGTTCACTGTCGTATTCGACGATGACCTTCACATCTGAAATCGGAATATGTAATATAGCTTTTTTGGGATCTTAATACGAGATTCATTGTATGGAGGTAACGATAGCGAATAAGACTATACGAGCAAATTTAAAGGTACTGTGTTATTTCAATAATTTCGAACTAGTAGCTTTTTGGGATTTTAATATAAACGAGATTAATTATATGGAATTATAGCGAATAAGACTATAGGACCAAATTAAAAGGTATAGGGTCCGCACACTTCAAATACGACAGTAAAGTTTGTCAGTCATTTGCTACATGCGGGCCTGTGAGTATAGGTATGTGACCATCTCTTTCGCGCCGAAGTCTAAATCGCTTTCTGTCTTGCTCCCCACTACATTTCGTGTACAGTTGCGAACAGCGTCGGATGTTATTGTAAACACGTAATTTTAGGTAGAAAGATTTTATCCAACCACAAGACCTCGCTTATTCGCCTGACTGTACGCGTGAGGAATTCGGATTCAGCCCGCGTTAGTTAGGCGCGCTTGAGTTTTGTTTCCTAACGAATTTTTCCCAACTTAAAATATCGTTGTTTTCATTGTAGACTTAAAGCGTTACCTTTTTCATTGAATTTGAAGTTAACGGTTTTGCGCAGTTGATAGTTTGGCCTCCAAGCGTTCGGAGCGACGGAGATCCCTTTCCACGTGTCATTGGCGGAGCTCTCCAGCTGGGTTTTAATCAACTGAAAAAAAAAAAATTACTATTACCATTTGTCTCCTCTATGACGTCGCGTCTTTGACGTCACCACTGAAGATCATAATTTTTGATTTTGGACTATTTGCATTGTATAGTGTGGGTTTTATTTTTGATGTATATAATAGCCTTTTCGTACAAAACAGTCACTGCCATAAGTTGTTTTCAATTATTACAATGTTGATTATTACAATAACTAAAAACATTGTTAGCTTTACTATTGTTTTTTGTTTTTGTCATTGTACTCTTGATCTTTTTATTCTTTGTATTTTATTCTTTTATGTTTATGTTTATTATTTTCTTTTATTTTTTATTTTTATTTTCTATAAAACCTATAAATTAAGATTACTAAATGTGAAGACTTGTAAATGGCTTCTTAAGTACTTTAAATCACTTAATTATATATGTTAATAGCTGTTAGTTTTCCAATAAAATAAATTTATAGCCTTTATAATTAAATATATATTAAAATAAATAAATATATATTAAAATATTAGAAATATATATTTTTTACTTGCTCTGCACCTATAAAACAACAACAATTACAAGGGTGTAGATAAAATATTAGTTGGAACCACTGGTTCCTGCCTTTCCTCTACTTCCTGTTACAGATTTCCGTGGATCTCTTGACTCAGTCAATCTGACATTTTAAAATTCTTTAGCGACACTTTCCAATCAATTAATAACGGACTAGAATATGTTTGACATTGACAGTTTGAATGTAAACTATGAATCTTCCATTCTATTTAATGTATTTGAACACAGATATTGTAATATTTTTTAAAATTAAATATTAACAATACTATTGCTCTCCTTGCCCTTATCCGTTTGACCGTTGGGCACATGTGAATTATATTAGGTACGTTTTTACGAGCGGCCGCCTGCCTCGCTTAAACCTCCTAAGAATAAACACACAGATCAAGTTATAAATGGGTTACGTGGGTTGCACAAGCACTTGTCCCGTGTGGGAATCGAACCCACAACCGCGCTTTATTTTACCGACTATACCACCGAGTATATGGTGTGTTAGACAATCTTCTTTGCTTCTCCTCTCCGTTGAACTCACCTTAACACTTGTCCGATTGACAGCATAGCAGCTGTTCACTGTAGGCTTTATCTATTTATAGTCACCACCAACTGACCTTAAGCCGAAGTTCCGACCGAGTAAGGGGGGGTGCCCCGCGATGCGCAGTGTCGGGCCAATGGCCCGAAACCATATCCACCGACCTTAAGCCGAGGTTCACTACGAGCAATGGGGTGCCACCACCGACACAGACTGAGATTCAGCCCGATCGAGGGGGATGCCTACCGCGGACAGCGTGTCGGGTCACTGACCCGAGACCGGGTCACTGAACTCACGTGGCCCAGGGCGGCTTGGGTGGCGCGGTCCGGGTCGATGGCCAGCTGTTCCGGGAACAGTTCTCGCTCGTGCTGCTGTATGAAGGCGGTGTGCACGTCACCGGCGAGGAACGCACTCGCTCCGCTTAGCCGCAGAAGGAAGTTCACGTTAGTCTCCAAGCCGGCCACCTGTGGAGATCCACGTGCGTTTTTAGACAATAAAGACTATCGCCAAGTGGAGTTTTTATACGTAACAGTCCTCGCTGTTGCATGAATGGGCAACTCCGTCTGGCTACGTGCCACGAGCTCACAGAAGGACGGCGTGAAGTTGAAGTGTTACACCTCTGCGTTTCGTCTGGTGAGTGAGCGCTCACTTCGGTGTTCCAAATGTCAATGGGCGGCGGTTATTACACTTAACATCAGGTGAACTGCCTTAACTTTTATCTTGTTACGACAAAAAAGTTTAGCTTCTAACGCGTGTACATAAGTACACATACACACTTTTTTATTTTGATGCCAGTAGCACCCCTCATAGTGTAAACCCGCCCTTAGATGCTTAGCTCGGAGTGAGAACATACTTGATACTCGGACAGTTTCCTCTTGGTTTTAGCCAACGCCTGGTTCCTGTCCTGGCCCCACACCACCAGCTTCGCAATCATCGGGTCGTAATGAACCGACACCTCTTGACCTTCGCGCACGCCCGTCTCTATCTGGAATAATAAAATAAAAAATACAATCCATTATTTCCATTGCTTTTGTATTGCTAAAAAATAATAAGCAGTAGGAATATACTAGTGTTGTTTTTGAGCAAAGTAGTAATCGCATATTAATAGTTAACAGTCAAAGTATCAAGTTATACAGCAGCTATTAGAACTAATATACCCTCTTACCATTGATTGTACTTATCATTGAGGACTTAGATATTCTATGATTTTTTTACGTTACTTGTGATCCAATAATGTCTCTATTTGGAAACCTCATAATTTAAAGGAATGTAGGATTTTTATTCCTCGACTGATTCTTTCTCATTATCCTTTTTTTTTATTCTGATTGAATTATAGAACGATAGTTAAAGATTTTCCAACATATTTAAAATGCTCATGGAACATTTCGTATGTTGGAAATTCAAAAATATATAATGAGAGGCCTACGTTGCACAAAACATAAATGCGGTTGTATTATGAATTTGTCTCAGTTCGGTCAAGTCTGCGACGCGAAAAAGAAGGCTATACCAGCCAGCCATTAAGTAACTGCATAGAACATTCGTACACTCTTTAGAGTGTAAAACTTGTTAAACTAAATGAAATCATCATGACGTAAAACCCATATTTTACAAATAAATTATTATTATCACTCTGACGTCGGTCGGCAAATTAAAATATGTAAAAAAAATTATTAACGAGAAACAAAACAGACTTCAAATATCTCGCTTTGTATTTTATAATTGAATTCCAGGAGTTCCCTACGTATCTCCGGAGCCCAAGATCCAATACCAATGATTTATACGTGACCACATGGAAAGGACCAGCTTTCAAATAAAAAAAAAGATTAATCAAAATTGGATCACCGAGTCGAAAGCTGAGAGCTAACAGATAAAAAAAAAATACAGTCGAATTGAGAACCACCTCCGTTTTTGAAGTTGGTTGAAAATATAATATTATGTACACTTTTTATAAGATTCTGTTACAGGGTGGGGGGGTTGATTACTTGAGACACTAATCAAACCACCATAATCTATTATTGTGTTTCTGTTCACATGTGTATTGTATCGTATATTTATTATGGTGAGGAATGAATGATCATTATTATGGTGTGGATATATATTCGTTTTGTCGTCTGGTTGGGTTTGTAAATTAAAAAAAAGTAAACTAAAAATTAAAAAAAATATATATTGATTATTATTATTATTATTATAAACAGCACGCACCCGCACGTTCTCCTCGGGCGTCGGCTGCCTCAGTCGGTGCAGGGTGCCCGCGCGGGGCAGGAAGCCGGCGCCCGGCTCCTCGGCGTACACGCGGCACTCGAAGGCGTGCCCCCGTCGCACGATCTCCTCCTGCCGCACCGGCAGCGGCTCGCCCGCAGCCACGCGAAGCTGCCACTCCACCAAGTCCGTACCTTGTAAACGCTTATTGTTAACTAGCCGGCCCGCGCGACCTCGTCTGCGCCAGAACCACCGGGTCCATACGTTTTGGCTTTTAACACAGCGCCATCTATTAGATACTTAGTGAAAGCTGCACCTAAATCGTTAGAGCCATTCCTGCTATTGAATGAGTTAATAAAGACCCCCCACCCGTAATAGTTTTTCTCAAATATCTCCCATGTACAGACAACAATCAGTTACATTTATATTATATGTATAGTTATAGATACATTTTATTTTAAAGTATGTTTTAGCTGGATAAAGTAATTTATTTTATTTTAACTTTATTGCAATTACCTTAAACTGGGACTACAAAGGGCGAACATAATAGCTTTTGGCATTCTCTCCTAGTATACCCAGGAAAGTATTGTTATCTGAACTCATATTAACAGCTAACCTTATTGAAACTAACAATTAATTTTGTCTAATATAAGCTTAAATATTATTACTAAAAAGATAACCTTAGTAGAAGTCATAGGTATATTATCTTGTTTAACGATTTTGTAAAGGTTTAACTTACCAGTGATCATTTCGGTGATTGGATGTTCTACTTGAAGTCTCGTGTTCATCTCCATAAAGTGGAAGTCGTGGGTGACACGATGCAATATAAATTCAACTGTTCCCGCTCCAACATAGCCGACAGCTTTTGCCGCCCTGACTGCCGCCTCGCCGAGTGCCCGTCGCGTTTCTTCTGACAGACCAGGCTAGAAGAAAAATATATTTTACATACCTCTTACCTGTGTGGGTCCATGCAACAATGTTCACTGTTGCATGAATGCACAGGTCCGTCCGGGTGAGTAACACAAACTCACAGAAGACCGGCACACGGAAGTAACACAAACTCACAGAAGTAGAAGTTTAACACTTCTACTTTACGCTTGGTGAGTGAGGTAGCCGGGGTCCACTTGATTTTAAAGGTGACAATGCATTTGCAGCCTTAAGGAAGACGTGAATGTCCATGGGCAGTAGTTATCACTTAACATCAGATGAACCGCCAGCACGTTTGCCACTTTGTCACATAAAAAAAAACCTTTTTAAAACTTTACTGTGTACAAAAAATTATTACATCATCATCATATTAAATACATCAATAAAATACTTATTATAAAAATATAAGTCAGACGTTTAATCTCAGAAATAACTTACTGCAGGAGCTTCTTCAATAATTTTCTGATGCCGTCTTTGAACAGAGCAGTCTCTTTCAAATAAATGTACTGCATTGCCATACATATCCGCAAACACCTATAAGAATGTAAAACCTATAAGTAAAATGTCGTGAATGAAAGGAGAGACTCAATATATTAATGTATTGGGTCTCTCCTTTCACAAGTTTTTTGTTTACTAGAATTTATTACATATTAGTATATATTTATTGTGATTTATTTCATTTGTTCAACATTCTGTTTAAGTGTCAGTTTTTCAACATATTTCAAAGCTAACTCAAGTACGGAAATGTAAAATGGCTTCTATATCTATTAATTGATTGCAATTGTGGATAAATATTATTTCTCATAATTAATTGCTTGTAAGTTGTGGGTAATTATTTGATTTTCTTTTAAAATGATAAATGCAGTTTTTTTCCATAAATACAATATTTCATGACCATAAAATTTGCTCATGTTTTATTTTAGTTACAACCCTTTTGCAAACTGTATACAATATGTATGGATATGCTATGTTTTATCAAGCCTCTATTTTTTATAATAAAAATTTGCCTATGATTTGATTATACTAGTAAAAGAATATTGTCATATTTACGTATAATGAAATGAAAATGTCTCAATTTGTCTAGGGACTTATATAATTTAGCCATGGTATGTATTAAAATTTGATTATTCACCTGTACTTCTACATGTCGAGGGTCTGTAATATATTGCTCTAGTAGCATACTTTCATCACCAAAAGACTTCAAAGACTCTCTCTTGGCAGATTCTAATTGTGACAGGAATTCTTCTTCAGTCATAGCAATTCTCATACCCTGAAAATATTTAAGAAACAATGAATAAATGAATATAATAAATTAATACAGTTAAGAAATTTATGAAAGAAATTATTATATTCTATAAAACAGTCATTCATAGCTTATAGCTATATAGTTTTAATAATCAGGTATAAGTTTGGTTATTCATTCTCCTGCCCTAGGTAGGGTCGGCACAACATCATTTTGTTAATTTTATTGGCTAGGTTTATTACATATGGGTCCCTAGGGAATAAACAGCCAGACAAATTTTTTATCGATAATTTAATTAACATAAAAAAGGAAAAAATGATGTAGCAAGAGCACAGAGTCTCATTGCTTAAAAATTAGTAAAAGGGTTTTATCCCTTATTCCACCTCAAAAAAACTACCACTGGGTAGTTTTTTGCATAAAACAAGCCTGAGTATATTGAATAAAGAAACAACAACTTGTGTGTGGCATTTCCAACATATGACCACCACTGCCTATACCAATAGCATAAGACAACAAATTACTTATAGTATACAATATTACCTTTCCACCTCCGCCGCGAACAGCTTTTATCATTAATGGAAAACCAATTTTATTTGCCTCAGCTTGTAATTTTTCAATGCTTTGATCTTCCCCATGGTATCCTTTTACTATTGGTACTCCTGCCTTTGACATTATGGCTTTTGATGTGCTGCAAATTACAATAAAGATATCATTTACTTATTTAACCTCTTTTTGCATTTATTTCTGTTAAAAAAAATGCAATTAATATAGTATTTCATTTTGAAGAGTATATGACAAGACTCTTTAATTTAACACATTAGAGGTATGTGCTTAAGAACTGTACATATTCCATAAAAGCAATTACATTTTCAATCATTATCAGCTTTTGGGAGTTGTAAATATGTATGCCATGTACACTTGTGGGAATTGTGCCCCATGCTTGGTTCACATTTACATGGATCAATCAACCACAGGGAAAATGTCAAGACAGGAAGATTTGAGTAGGCTTGCCTTTTAATTCCCATGTCTCTTATAGCAGAAGTAGGAGGGCCAATGAAAATTACTCCATGGTGTGCACATTGCTCACAAAACTCAACATTCTCAGAAAGGAATCCATATCCAGGATGAATAGCTTGGCTTTTAGACTTTAGAGCCACTTCTAGTATTTTGGCTGCATTTAGATAACTCTGTGTAGATGGGGCAGGCCCAATATGATATGCTTCATCTGCCTGCAAAATGAATCCCTCCAAATAAATATCAAAAACGTTTTGCAGTAAAAATATTTGTATCAATAAAATGAAATATATGCTAACATCATTATTACTAATTTGAAATGTGTGATATATATTTTTCTTTAAATTATAATTATATACTTAATGTGTCTATAACATACAAATGAAAAGTTTTTAATCTGCAACCTATAATCTTATCCTTTAAACGAGCAATTCTTGTATATATATATATATATATATAATCGGAATCTCGGAAACGGCTCCAGCGATTTTCATGAAATTTAGTATGTGCATAGATTCGGGGGCGAAAAATCGATCTAGCTAGGTTTCATTTTTAGAAAATGTCCTTTTATCCCTGTTTTCAAGGAATGAAAAATATAATTCGAATATGACGGTAAATTTCGCCGCAAGAGAAAATGTCATAATAGCTCGGTCGGTAATCGGGCGGCCCCAAAACAGACGGCCGTGGTTTGCGTCACGATCATTTACACATTTATTTTTTTACTTTTTTTTCGATTCCAGATCATTGCTTTCTCTTTCTTTTAATTTTTTGTCGATTTGTTATTTTGTTATTTTTTTCCCTTTTTTTTAAGTTCTTTCTTTTGTGAAAAACATCAGTTCATATTTTCTTATTATTACGTAGGTAAGATCGAAAAATATTATGCATATTTCATTACTCAGTAATTTGTATCTAAATATAATTTCCAAAATACACGATTTACCAAAAAAAAAAAAAAAAACAAACCAAGCAAAGCTCGGTCCTCCGGGTACTATTATAATTAAGATAACAAACATACCATTTCCACATGCATTGCATTTTTATCTGCATCTGAATAAACAGCTACAGTTTGTATTCCTAATTTCTTTGCTGTTCGCATCACCCTGCATGCAATCTCACCACGGTTGGCTATTAAAACTTTCTCAATATTCCTATTTTTCAGGTCTTCTTTGACCTGAGTATGGCTGTATCTCAACCCATACTGAGTAAAATATGATTTTCTGTAAAAATTAAAAACGTTTCGGTTAAGTCTTTACACTTCTCATTTAAAGTAAAACACCCTGTTTTAATTATTGTCTTAAATTGTTTACCGAATTTTAACCAACTGTACATATCGATTTAAGTTGTACATATCGATAAATATTAATTTAACAAGACTTAAGTTCCGTTCAGGGTAATTGATACCTAATTTTCAAAGAAACACAGTTTAAGGTAAGTAAAATGTGTGAATAAATGACGAAGGCTATTACGTTACATTCAATTAATTCGGTATATGTCGTCATATGAAACGTTATCACGATTCTTTATCATTAATGAATTCTTCAATGACAGTTCATATGGTATTTACATTAAGATAATGCAAATCAAATTTAAAGAACATAACAAACCTGTTTGTTGTTCATTCGTGAAATTTGACATTTCAATTTCATGAAGAATTTTAACATGACAAAATGTCAAGATTTAAAATATGTAGAAAATTAAAATATGTAGAAAAATGTCAAGAGTTCAATATTGATGTGTCTTTATCACAGATAAAATTACAATAAGAAATGTTAAGACATTTAAATATATTCTAATTAGATTATCGGTAGTATAATCGTTTATTGATCTAATATTTACAAGATTAAATCTATCTAAAATTACATATTATCTAATAAACCTAAACCACGCGGCATGGTGCCAAGAACGCTAGCTGCATTTCCTCGCTGAATAGTTATGCTTAACCCTTGAGCGAGAAAAGAACCAGCTCTCTTGTCACCAGCCGCGGCGTTAAGCCTAAGGCATAAACTTAAAAAAAAAATGATGTGCGGGGACCCCACAGACCTAAAGTTTCAACAGCAAATGGCACAAATACATAATCTAAACATAAAGACTCATACTTCAGCTGCCTCCGATGCCGCCCTGGCCCTGACCAAAGTACCCCTTAGATGAGAGGCATCCAAAGTGTCTACACAAGTAGCGTCCCAAACAAGGGCTTTGCCTCTCTCCCAAGGGATCAATGTTAAACCGTCGGGTCTCTTACCATCATCGCCAAAAATGCCACAGGGCTCTAAAATAGATGGAACATTGATGGAGCCCTACGGATGATGTCGTTCAGGGAACCGTGGTGGGAAAAATGGCCAGCACTTTTTTAACAAGACAGCCCGTGGAGACCAAATTTGTCTACGTTGACACCACAAGGGCATTGGTGTAGTTGACAAATCGGTGCCCCCAGACGGATTCCTACAGCAATGCGTAAGCTTTCATCGTCAAGTAATGTGCCCAGGTTACTTGATGGTAAAGCGTGAAACCAATAACTCGATTCTTTAGATGAGACACTTAGGAAACGGGCACGCTCTAAATTACTTTCTAAAGATTGAAACGTATCTCTCTGTACTCTCCGCACCAAAGGAACATCCCAGTGTTTTTGAAGGTTTACTTCCAGTAGGGATATTTTCGTTGGAGCAGATAGACAGCCAAGACATCCTTGCCTTCTCTGCATAGGAACGTTCTGAACCGTGATTAAGGATGTCATTACATAAATTATTTACGCTATGCACGGAAGCAAGGAAGGCAGGTAGAACGACACTAGAAATTTGCCTTAAACCGATTCCATCAAAACTAATTGACAGCGTAGCTTGAGTCCAGCTTAATTCATTAAGAGATAAATTTAGAAATTTTTCTAGAGCTGATTTAAGATGGAAATCAATTTCGTTCAAAAAGTCACCGCATTTCCAAACTGGACTCGAGCGAAGAAGGTACGTAAATTTAGGTACAAGAATAAAATGTTGCAAAATAGTAAGCGCAATATGCGAATTTCGTAAAAATAATTTGTTAACATTTAAATTATATATCGTAAATTCTAAGTATATAATACATTAAAAACATTACCAGTAACTGTTTTCTTGGGTAAAGTGTAGTTTCCAATAACATCTTCCGACTATGGACTGCAGTGTCGCTGTTGCATGACGATAACAAGTAAACAACACTATGGTGCCCTCGGCTCGGCTGCAGCTCTGTAACAGCAACATCCTGCTAACAAGAAATGAACATTGAACACCAAGAGCATGTAATAGAATATAATAGATTGAACACTCAATTAGTAGAGAGGGAAGGCAGTGCACGACATGATCATAGGGCCCATCGAATGGAACCTCTATACCTTGGCTTGGATCGCAATCGAAAGTGGGACAGTGGAACTCAGTTAGTTGCATCGCCAACCAACTTCATTATGTCGATTTGAGGGTTGATGTGCATGCGCATGGTCAAAAAATTATTATATTTTTTTTAACACGCCAAAAGAAGTTATACTTCTTTTGGCGTGTTTAAAAAAAATAACGAAACAATAAAAAAAATTAAATAAATAAAAATAAGCTTCAAAAATTGCAAACATTTTATAAATAGTGTAAATGAATATTATCGACATTTAATCCTTTTTACAAAATAAGTAAATAATAAATATATACCCATTTGGCGATTTTGTTACTTTATGGCTCTAAGTTACCTACTACCTACTTATTTAATGAGTTCTGACTTTTGTCTGTCTGTTATTAGAAGAGTGAAATTTGAAATGTGGTGGAGAGCTTTGTTTTCATTTAAATTTTATTGTTTATTTTAAATCAAAAATGAAACCTTCAGTGTTTTAAATTAGTTTTTAAGTCATTCATTCAAATAGTTTTTTTGTTTAAAAATCGTCTGTAATGGGTATTAAAGGATTATGGACTGTTTTAGCACCTTATTGCGAAAAGAAATCTTTACATGAAGTAAGAATAAAATTTTATATATTCTTTAATATATTACAATGATATTTTATGTATAAATAGATATTGAAACAACATCTTCTTTTCTTACATACACGTAACTTGCGTTGACTTTCCGGAAATAAAAAGTCCTTTTTGTAAATCTATCTAATTGTTAGATTAGGGGCAGGCAAAATCGTACTAAACAACCTAGTTGTGTAGGTTATGAGATTTGTTATTGATTACATATAGAATAATTGAGTGAGGAAGTCTTGGGACACTTAAAACTTAATGATTTGTAGCTCCCTTATCCAATTCACATTACTAAGAGATTTATCCCAGATATTTAATTCTGCAAGGTGACTGCTTGGAAGCATGCATACCGACATAGTTGCATTTTTACTCACTTCATTAAAATAAAAATGAAGAAAATCTTAGCCACCATACATGTTTTTATAGATCCAGGGTGAAACACTTGCTGTGGATTTATCAGGATGGGTTTGTGACAGTCAAAATGTTACTGAGTATCACATCCAACCAAAACTTTATTTAAGGTATTATGCATATTTTACAACATTTATTGTATACAGGGCTATAAGCCTTTGTCTTTCTTGGTTTGCATATGTACCCTTAATTTAGTTAATGCTATAGTTAAATTCTGTTTCAGAAATTTATTTTTTAGAACAATATATCTCTTATTAGCTGATATAAAACCCATTTTTGTACTCGAGGGAGATGCCCCAGAGCTAAAAAGAGATGTCATGGCTGCACAAAATGCAATACAGTTTCGAGGTGCGCCACCAAATTCTGGTGCAACATCAAATAAACCAAATGTGGCACGCAGAAGATTTAGAAGTGTCCTGAAAGAAGTATGTAAAAAAAAAAAGTAAATATTATCTTTCTATTGGTGGAGAATTTATTTATAATTATTTTAATTATTTTTTGATTATTATGGCAAATTAAGTTAACCTGTGATTATGTCGGTTTATATATTGTATTCTTGTTAATCATAATTCAAAATAATTTTAATGATAAAGATCATTTTAAATTGTAAATTTTTGTCGATAAATGAACAAATACTTATGGCACTGGGATTCGAACTTACGTCTTCTGGTTTCGCGCCCAGATACTTTACCAACTAATCAATGCGACCGATGATTTCATGGTGTGGAAATCTTGACATATATCTATGTTCATTCTATTGCATTTTTATCGCGAAACCATAAGACGTAGGTTCGAATCCCAGTGCAAAAGTTGAATTTTGAGTTCTTTTTTTTTTTTTTTTTTTTTTTTTTATGCGAAAAGTTGTCAAACGAGCAGACGGTTCACCTGATGTTAAGTGAATACCGCCGCCCATGGACATCTGCTACACTCGAGGGTTACAGATGCGTTGACAACCTTTTGAAAATTGGGCTCCGGCCACCTCACTCACCAGACCAAACGCGAAAGTATTTGTCATACTTCCACTTTACGCCGGTCTTCTGTGAGGTCGTGGTACTTACCCGGACGGGCCTGCCCGTTCGTGCAACAGCCGAGGCTGCTGCGTGGCCCTACCACCGTAGAAGAGAGTGCCCAGAGAGAAATTTATAGTTGCAGGCTTCAAATAGTATATGTTTTTATTGTTCTTTTTTTCAGTGTGAAACCCTTTTAAAATGTATGGGGGTTTGTTGTATAAAAGGAAGAGGGGAAGCTGAGGCGACATGTGCAGTATTAAATTCGCAAGGTGTTTGTATTCAATTGTAGTTTATGTAAAGTAAATAATTATTATTTGTCGCATTTATTATGTATATTATGTTGTGTTCTGACACCAGGAAACATCTGTAAGACTTTAAAAATTAATAATAATATAAATAAAGGTTTCAAACCAGCATTGTATGCTATACTTTACGTGATAAGTTGAGATTTTTGTCGTTTTAATACAGTATGGATAATGAATTAACACAGCATGCATAGCAAAAGCAGGAGACGCAGGTTCAGGATATTGCACCGAAAGTTTTTGTTCTATAACATTTAACAATTCATAGTATGGATTGCCAAATCAACAATCATATACCTGAGATAGAACTTGTTATTATGAAAAAATAATATGTATTTTGAAGAAAAAAAAAAAAAAAACAAGATACTTATTCTGTTTAATGCTTTCTGCTTGAAATGATTTTACAGAAATATTTTCAAAAGACCAACTAATCTCATCATTTTGTTAGTTGTAGATTTGTAAATTTAGTTTTTTTATGTAATCCCAAAGAAATTGACAACTGAGGAGGATCCAAAAGCACCATGTACTCTAAAAGAGATTTCTCCCAAATTGCTGAAGTCATATCTCGTACCATGCAGTAGGTATGGGTCTTGTTGAAAGATTGAATGTTGTCATTAATTAGTCCTCGCAACTGTGGTAGGGCAACGCAGCAGCTGTTGCACTAATAGGCTGGCTCGCCGGAGAATGTACCACGACATCACAGAGTACCTATTGGTGTGAAGTCGAAGGTGTTATAATTCAGTATTTCGTCTGGCGAATGAGCTTTTTAATAAAGACGCGAACGCATTTGGAACCGCACGAGAGTTGCAGATGTCCATGGGCGGCGGTTATTAACATCGAGTGAATTGTCTGCGCCCTTGCCACCTTCCCACACAAAAAGGAAATACGGTTTTGTCGCGTTTTATTTTCGTTCCGAACACGGCACGGTTCTTCAAGGTCACGGGACAGAGCACTCTGTGCCGGAAAAACATGTGCAGTATGCTGCTAAATACAAAAAAAACCCAGCCAAGTGCCAGTCGGACTCACGCTCGAAGGGTTCCGTACCATTATCTATAAAAACGGCAAGAAAATCATTTGTATGGGAGCTCCACCTTAACATTTTCTTAATTTCGTTTTTTAGTATTTGTTGTTATTGCTGCAACACAAATACATCATCTGTGAAAATTTCAACTGTCTAACTATCACTGTTCACGAGAACAGCCTGGTGACAGACGGACAGACGGACAGACGGACAGACGGACAGACAGCGGAGTTTTAGTAAGAGGGTCCCGTTTCACCCTTTGGGTACGGAACCCTAAAAAAGCGGTCAATACAAATTTTTTTACAGGTCGTGAACGCGGTTGTGTCGCAGGACTCTGATTGCTTCGCGTATGGGGCTCGACGCGTTTACCGAAACTTCAGCGTTTCCAGCTCCGCGGGTGGCGGCGCCATGCAGGGCTCCGTTGATTGCTACGACGCCGATGTGATGTTCCGCAGCATTGGTATACGATATTGACCTGAACTAATTTCTAAGTTATATGTACCAACATTTCCTTGCTAGATATTCTCTTGAGTTGAAGCTTAGTATTGTACGAATCATTTGGGAACCTATCACGAAAGTTTTAAATGAAATTTTAAATTATGAAATCAATGAATGAAATATGCTTTATTGTACACCAGACAAAATTACAAAAGTAACAAACAATTATATAAAGGTACAATTAGCGCTCTTATCGCTTAGAAGCGATTTCTTCCAGGCAACCGTTAATGAATGTTACAGAAGATACAATGACCAGTGAGAAGGGGTTGAGGAGACGCTATTGTAAATGTAGCTATTATAGACTCATGTACACAATACTACTACTATACACAAATAAATATATATATGAATAAATATATATATTTTATATTTATATATATAAACAGAAGGGAACAATAAGTGTACAAAAGCCATATAATTCATTGGGTTTTTTTTAATAAATTATGTGAAAAAAAAAGAAAAAAAAACCATAATAAAGAGATAAAATGTTTACGGAGGAAGTTACTTATTTTGGAAACTATAATAAGTTTGTAATTAAAATCTAAGTAAAGGGCTTTAAATTAAACTCATTCTTAAAGCCAACTCGAACGCGAAACTATAACTGTTATACTCTGAGAGACATGATTTAGCACATAACTAGAAGGAGATACTATTGATTGCAGAGTATAAAAAACATTTCACTTAAGGAAGAAATTAACCTAACAAGGTATTGAATCAGCATATACAGATTTCATTACGTTTATTACCTAAAAATCTAGTAGTTTTAAATATATGAATAAGTAAAAATAATTGTTAAAGGATTTGGCCGCAACAAAATGGTGGCTCTCGCTTTGCTCTGCGGCTGTGACTATGGTGTGGGGGCGTGTGGGTCCTCAATTAACACCGTGGTGTCCTTCCTACACACCGTTCCTGAAGAACAAGCTATAAATAGGTAATTATCAGAAGTTTTAATAGATAATTCATGAGAAGTAAGCTTTCATATATGCTATATGAAAACTTAAACATGCAATATAAATTGTCATATCGCATTGTATACACGTTGAGTGTAAGAATTGCAGAATTCAAAAAATATAAACTGTAAATAAAACACACTAGGTGGCGCCAAGCATTGATTAAAATGCATTAGAAATAAATTAAATACGTTGCGATTATCGTCGGTGTGAAGATATGCCGTTTAGCCCAGTGGGTAGAGCGTGACAGCGTAACAGGACGCGAAACCCGAACGCAGTTTTGAACCATTTTCTTCACCGTTCTTAACTTCGTCTTAAGTTAAGTCCGCCGAAGGTGGAGTCGCGTGGTGGGCTATGCCATAACTCATAGTACAGAAGAGGCCTTTGTCCTATGTTTCGTGTCTGTTTGCTTGATTTTTCAAGATGATTTCCGGTCACTACACACCATAGGGCTTTCTCAGGCTCGTGTCGTGGGTGAGCGACAGTCGTCAGTTCGAGGAGCGGGCGCGCTGGGCGGCGTTGCCGGGAAGGTGCGACCGCTGCGGCCACTCGGGCCGCGGCCACGCCAAAAGCGGCTGCCCGGTGTGCGCGACGCACCGCGGTTGCCATGACAACGCCCACAAGTGAGAACACGGTGGTGGCTTTTAGGGTTCCGTACCCAAAGGGTACAACGGGACCATATTACTAACACTTGGCTGTCTATCTGTCTGTTTTTTTGTTTGTCCGTCTGTCCGTCCGTCCGTCCGTCCGTCCGTGCGTCTGTCACCAGGCTGTATGTCATGAATCGTGATAGTTTTCACAGATGATGTAGTTCTGTTGCCGGTATAACAACTAATACTAAAATACAGAATAGAAATATATTTAAGTGGGGCATACAATGGACACGATTTTCTGCCGTTTTTATAGATAATTGTACAGAACCCTTCGAGCGTGCGTCCGACTCGCACTTGGCCGGTTTTTACGTGATAGGATGGAAGTGCTTGTTGCTTACGCAACCGTTCGCCAGTCGTTCTTTTATACCGATTTACACCCTCTTGACTAGGTAATAAGATTTGATGTGTGAGGTTGACAAAATAGCAGCTCGTTCTCCTGATGGTACGTGCTTTGACATTTTAGATGATTTCTAAAATCGTTTAAGTTTGCTTGTTTGTGCAATTTCGATAGTGAGTTTGTTTGTGTAAGTTTCTACTTGATTTTTTAACAATTTTGTGTATAACGTAATGTCTTTATGTAATTTCGTTTATGTGTATAATATATTCGTTGGTCGGCCGTCAGAGGCGTGGTTATGTTGAACATTTTCAATATTATTCACGTTATAATACGAAATTACGGGTACTTCGCTAATAAATTTTATTGATTTGAGTATGGAGGTTCTTATCAAAAACCTTGGGTGGAGTTACATTTACGTATATGTCGAAGGTTCATCTTGTGCCGACCTCTATTACTACAGATCCAGATCTGTCTAAACCCTGGCCCTCTATTATTAGAGTTCCGTACCCAAAGGGTAAAACGGGACCCTATTAATAATACTCCGCTGTCTGTCTGTCTGCCCGTTTGTCCGTCTGTCTGTCCGTCCGTCCCAGGCATCAGTATCTCGTGAAACTCTCAGATTTTTGTTTATTCAATCGGAAACGGAAACATGGAACTGGTCGCTTAGATAATGTTGGCATAGAGTGAAGAATGAATTTCGACATTGGATGGGATATGCGAGTTTTGGTCAGCGAAGGAGAACACGAGTTCGCTATTTAATTAATATTTTTTTTTTTAAATACGTAGTGTGTGCCTTATCTACAGAGGCCTTAGTAAAGGCTTCAGGCTTAAAATTATCATTTTTTATTTAGGGCCAAATTAGCGGAGGTAAAAAGGGAACTGTCACTGCGTACGAAGGCTTTGTCGAGTGGCGTGCCATTCCCTGAACCGATGGTTATGAAGGAATTTTTGAACGCATCTAATGAAGAGATCGATTTGAACTGCTTAAAAACACCGGTGCCGAGCTTAATACAATTTGTGGTATGTATGTATATATACGACCATGAATATCATTTGTCCAAACTGCGGTTTCCTTTAAGCGAAAAACAAATGCACTAAGTGTTACAGATTGGAATTACAATATACGGGAGAACCTGTTAAGAAGTTTAGTTTATTATTGTTATGTTTACCCCTTTTTTGGAAGGCATATTTTTTTCTATACACTTTAATGAATGGAGACTTAAACCGTGCCAAGTCTTTGCTTGCTAAGTACAAATGCCAGAAAAGTCACTGGTAACGTATGCGAGTTTCCGAAATAGGGCTTATTAAGATGCTACGGATGGTAAAGGAAACATATATACAAGAGTGGTTAAATTCTTTCTATTATACGATTATACTGTAGCCAAGTTCACTACGCCAATCGCGTGAACTTGTCTGTATCTAAAATATGTATTTATTTTAAAAATAAATATTTGAGTTTGTTTATCGGTAACATATCGCCTAAAAGTGCAAGCTTTGCTTAACTTCGGACTGGATAATGTATAAATAAATATGTTCTGAAATATTTAAATATTTATATTTAATTATGATTCATTGAAATGAAACCATACTTATTATTTGTAAATCTATAAATTAGTGTTTAATAGATTGACCGTTACAGAAATTGATGTCCAGCAAATTGGATTGGAGCGAACGGTATTGCGTCGAAAAATTCTTACCAATACTCACGAAATGGCACCTTCGGGAGAACGTTGCTTGCAGGAAGATTGCGCCGAAAGCGATTAAAAAGAAAAGAAATCCGAAAGGTGGATCAAAATATGCAAAATTTCAACTTGTTAAAATTTAGTTGTGTAATATTTATTTGAAACTGCTGTATACAAATGTAGTTAAACAATAACATTTTCTATTTTATTGTATATGTTAAAAACAATAAAAATTATTTGTACAGGTGTACCTTCGTATGAAGTGTTATGGGAAGATATGAACGGAGAGTATGATGGGTTAATTCCAGATGATCAGTTCGAAGGTTTGTTTTCCTATATATATTTATTTTATTTTATCTCTATTTTTATCAAAAGGCAGTAAGCTTCTTTAGGGCGTACGCAGTTGGACGAGTGTCATAAGCGCATTTAAGTTTTGCGCTCCCCTTTATGTTCTATATTATATTCTATGTTCCAATTACTATCATCCCTTTTAGTTCCGTCCATTTCCATCACCATAAAAACTTTATTATATTGTTGTTAAGTGGTTTAATATAATTTGAAACTTTTTTATTTTACAGAATCCGAAGATATTTTACAAGTTTGGACTTCGATCGAACGACAAGACTTGATGCGAAGATATTATCCAGATTTGGTGGAAGCGTACGAGGAATCGGTAAAGAAGCCAGCGAAGGTTAAGAAAGTAAGGGAGAAGAAAAATAAAGAGAATCAAGATCCCAACAAACCGAAGAGAAAATATAGTAAAAAGAAAAACACTGTCAATGATGATGTGTTGGAGACAGTCAACAATTCCCTGAGACGATTAAGTCTTAATGTTACAGATCTTAATTCAAGCAGAGCCCAAGTCAGTGTTTGTATTAATAAGTTGAAAAGAAAACTGAAAAATAACACGAAAAAGAAAACTACGATTGAGGCGTATTTGATTAATAAAAAGAGAAAGTATAGTTGAGTAAAGCAAAGCAACATAGTTTTAGTTGTGACGAAAATTTTGGCAATATCCAAGATCAGAATCAAATTCCTTTATTTAATCAGGATGGAACCGATGCTCTAAGAACTAATATTAGTTTTCTCAATGGAAGTATGGAAGATATAAATGACAGTGAATTGTCAGACATTGTAGACCAAATAGTGAATAGAGCAACTGCTGTTAAAACCGCTAACGTCAACAGCGACCTAGTAAAGCTTGTATTCGAAAATAACAAAATATTGGAGAGAAGATCGTTTATGAAACAGAGCTTCATACATAATAATTGCTCAACACCGAAGAGTAGTCCACTAAGGAAGAAAAAAAAGTCTATCAATTTATCGAAACGTTTCTCTGCGGCCAAAATTAATACGAGTTATTTTTTTGATAAATTGACGGATAACTGTGATGCATTTGAAATGTCGATTGAAAATAAAACTGTAATGGACGTCAAATGTGATTTAACTGTTGATTATAGCTTACCCGATGTGTACTTTTAGTTTTCTGTATAAAACTTTCAATAAATGATAAACTGTTTTCACTCTGTTCATTTACGAATGAAAACCAGGTAGTAATATAAAATAAAGTTTTAAGTTTCATCACAATTTAGATTGTGAGATTTCATAAACAATCGGAATGCGAAATTTTGTTCACGGTGGGGAAATGCCTACGCACACTCTCCTCTGTGGACGCAAAGGCAAGTTTGTCAGATTCGCAGTAATTTAAACCCCTAAGACGATTTAACTAGGGTGCATATCAGCTGGGTCGAGGCAATGAGGACTGGGAAGAGGCAGTGCTAATAAGCAGCAAGCCTTCCAGTACCATCGGTGGATGTTGTCTGTGGCTCCTCCGATCACCACGTTTTGACGGTTGTTATGTATACGGGAAGGGAACGAGTGAAACAACTTTTATGGATTTATTTATTTAAGGCACGCGGCGCAGCCATGCATAGTTATACATACATAACAACGGTGGAGCATAGGGAGAACAGTTTAACACAATACAGACACTCGCGGCCACCACTAATGCACAAGCTGTGCAGCGCCGCCGAGTCGCGGGGGATAGGGAGATCGGCCACGGCTACATTCCGATTGCAGAAGACAGGGAGAGCGCTTTCTCCCCACCCTTGACCTGTTTCCCTATTTCTCCCAACACGCACCCTGAGTGGGGTAAATGAGCTAGGGGGGTGCAGAGGACAGGTCGAGAGTGGTTGAAGAGCGGTACCCGCCGCCAGGGGCTGAGAGGATTGCTATTTATTAGCACTGGCTCTTCTGGCTCCCATGGCCACTTGTCAGTGGTAAATGGGGCAAAGTAAGAAAAAAAAGTAAAAAAGTAAAGTAACAGCCTATACATGTCCCACTGCTGGGCAAAGGCCTCCTCTATACAGAGGGTATCCGCCACGCGGCCCCACTGCGGATTGGCGGATTTCACATATCTTCTAATCTAATTTTTTTTTGTTATTATTTCGAAAATACGCAGGTTCACGGTGTTTTTACGATGTTTTCACAAACCAAATGCATTACTCATGAAATGATTTCTAAGGATTTGTCAGTGTATGTTCCAACCATGAAACAATTCGATTGATTTATCGGTTTGTGTTCAGATTAGTGTGTTTCGAGAAAGATTTAAAGACGATTTAGTCGTTTATTTGGTATAAGATGGCTATATACGTAAACTGCCGATTGCCATACTTAAAACAAAGACTTTTATGTTAATAATGTGATTTATCAGTTGTTGTTCCGACGCTTCTCAATGGTATTGCATCTTGGATTTCGGAGACAATTTGTCATGTTGAAAATCTTAAAATCAAATAGAAAATGTATAGTGAGCGAGATATTTATTGAAAGTCTTTTTTGTTTTTGATGTGGAATGTCTATTGACGCATGGCAGTAAAATCGGCTGGTTTGCCGTCATGACCAGTCATGACAAAAGGCATGACGCTCTTTTATGCCATCATACCCCCTACACGCCGCCGCTTAAGACTCCTTGGTGTGCCCGCATATACTACACGCTTCGTGACTATTTTTATTATAGTATACTTAACACGTTTTCTGCTCGTATATGCGTATTGTATTATATTTCTTGAGATCCAATATTGTTGCGTTTTAAGTAATTAAAAAAATATTTTAAACTATTTGTAAACCAGTCATATATAATAACAATAAAACTCTACCAATATAAATATATAAAAACATGATTGAACATGGATTATATAATTATTTAGATAAAGTTACATTTTATATCTGTTCTGTTTTTGGGATAAAAATGCGTAAAACATCAAGTAAAATCTATATCTATATATACAACTAACATCAAAGTATACCAAAGTATAAAAAAAAGAGAATATAATGTAATATGTATCTGAGTAAAGAGTTGTTGCTACCTCGCAACAGCGTTCAAGTGGAAATCGGAAACAATTTACCTTTTTGGGTATATACTTTTGACGTTGAATAAGGCGTTCAATTTCGTTTTCACGTATTTCTTATTTTTATGCGAATGAAGTATTCGGTAGCTTGCTTTTTTAAAAATATTTTCATAAATTCAGGTCGAGTTAAAAAAAAACTACGATTATAAAAATTCATTCCTAGAAAGCTTTAAGTGGTTTGCCTGAACGCAATATGCAAAAGGTACCTACTACTACTTTTAAAATTTTGTAGTAAAAATTAAGTTAAAATAAATGTAAAATTAATAATTATAGCGTAGGACAATTCCAATATACAAGTAGCGGTTAGAGCGGCTGTTATAAACTGGAAAATATAAAATTACACTGGGTATTTACTGCTTTTCGCGTTGAAGTAATTTAATATTTTGTAGTCTATGTTTCTCATAGCAAAATGTCGGAACCAAGTAATATTTCATGCGACGGTGTACAAGTAAACGTAATCACTACATAGTATAAAACAAAGTCGTCCCGCTGTTTATCCCTATATTGTATGCTTAGATCTTTAAAACTACGCAACAGATCTTGATGCGGTTTTTTTTACTAGATAGAGTGATTCAAGAGGAAGGTTTATATGTATAATACATTGCACCCGTGCGAAGCTGGGGCGGGTGGCGAGTGATTAATAAATTGAAAAACAGAATATCTTTTGACAGTCTTTATAAAAGTAACATATAATTGCTGTATGAGGTATTATATTCACGAAATAAAGGGAAAGAATTGATAAAAGTAAAAGCGTGTTGTATGACCCAACCCATTATACCGCCATAACAAATATTATGGTAAATAATCACCACCGATTTTTCAGGATCGGTTGGATCTAGCAAATTGAAATTTATACCAGATACTGAGATCTATAGTCCCTATTTGGTGTATAAAAATCAAGGTCAGTTAAGAATCAAAAAAATTGTCCGTATTTATGCAAAAAGGAACCACCCAGCAAAAACGCACTTCTTAGATATTACAGGATTTACAAAAATATGTGCAGCTCTGTTAGATGAAACAAAATTACTATTTATTTTATTTTAATTTATTGATAAATTATGTATTTAAGTAAGTGTATACAAATTTGCTCTGCGCAGCCTGAAATAATCTAAATAATATTTCCTTTTAATATTTACTGATTTATAGGTTTTCCATATACAAAAAACAACCACAACCCAGGGATTTACTGATGTAAATAAAACTATGTATTTATATTATCGTAATAAACTTTAATTCACTAAATATCTATAATTACACGTATAGAGAGCGTTTATTCGACGTTATCAACAAATGGAACTTCGAAATCCACCGTATCCAGTCCATCTATATCGACTTCTATTGTATTCACATCGTTATAATTGAGACCATTATAAAAACTCTGCATTTAGTGACATGAGGCGTAATATAAACTGAACATCGGCTAGTTTCGCTGATGATACTTGTGTATCTTGTATTAACTGATGTTTGTGCTTTCAGTCCCGAGACTATTAAAGCTTCATCTGACGCAGAACCGGTGGGCTAGCCAGAACCCACGGGTTTGGGCCCTCCGCTGTGGGTAGGGCCGCGCTGATGATACTAGCTTCCTTGACGGCCACAGAGGAGGTAAATGTTTCGTCAAGATGACAGCCGGTCACACAACTCCCAAGAAAATCTTTTAAAATGTTTATTGAGTTTATATCTGAATAATACATTATTTATTATTATAATAATAATACTATATTTGCCATAACCCAAAAAAATGAGAAAAATACATAGAAAAAAGTAGTACAAACAAAAAAAAAGATACAAAATAAAACTATAATACACAAATAAAAAATAAAAATAACATTTTGGCAAAAAAGTAATAAGCTCAACGATTTCTGAGAATTTCTCAGTGCTGATTTTCAGCTTATTCCTATATTTTATAAAGCTTTACATCATCATTTACAAATATTGACAGCGGTAGTTGACATATTTTGTTCAGTTAGATTTAGATATAGTAATAACGATAATGTGTATCTAAATATCAGTAACTATCGTACTGTAACACAAATTATTTAAATATAGACAGTTTTATTTATGAAATCATAAAAAGCTAAACAACTACCGTTTCATAATGTTTTATGCCTTTTGTTTTAAGACCCGCTAGATTTCTTTTTCTATATAAAATAACATTAATTTGTACAAATCTGATAATAACCTATTATGTTCGCTTTTTGGGCGATAGGCATAGTCACAACCGCCCACAAAGCAAGCTTTAATTGAATCTTAGAATTGATACCTATTTAATTTCTAAATTTGACTTAGTACCTGTGCAACATGCACACTCGGGGTTTTCCTAGTAATATTTACTCCTAGGAAGGTAAGAATCTTAAAAATAACAGTAATAACTCTAACACAAAATAAAGAATAAAACTTCGAAAAATTTTAAGAATACACACAATGGTTAATATAAGTTTTTATTTAGTTCATTTTTTATGTGAAACGATGCCAAGCGAGCAAGCGGTTCACCTGACGTTAAGTGTATACTTGTACTACCTACCGACATCTGCTACACCCGAGGGTTGCCGATGGGTTGACAACCTTTTGAAAGTTGGGTTTCGACTACCTAACTCACCAAACGAAACCCGAAAGTATTATACTTTCACTTTACGCCGGTCTTTTGTCGGGTAGTTACCCGAACGAGCCTGCCCATTCGTGCAACAGCCGAGGCTGCTGCGTGGCCCTACCACAGTTAAATAATCCAATATATCAAATGTCAAATAAAGCAGTCATGTTCTTCATTTAATTCTTTCTCTTATTCTTCTTTTGTCAAGTTACTTATAGTAACTGTTTATAGACGGAGTATTATTCAACAGCGACAAGTTGGCTTGGACGAGTATTCTGCTTATCATCACGGGTTTTCTAAAACTAGAGCTCATATGCGGCTCAAGTACGACTGAATTTTTCACGATCTAATGAAAAAAGTTATTGTGTTAGGTTGGTGATGGAAAAAACTTCCCCTTGGTGCACAGCCACAGAATAATTAGGAAAAAGTAACATTTGTTACGTTGTAAAATTCAAGTATCAAATTTTCACTTTAACTTTCGCGTCTCCTATAAAGGTATAGCAAATCGCACTATAAAAACACAGCTTCAGAAGAAAATCATAAAAGTTATTACGAAAAAGTAAACCTGAATTCAAATATTTGAACGATTACTATGGCTTCAAAAAGTAGGTTAGTTTTAACATTGGTTTGGATATTACCCAAATTTGGAATCGATTCTGTTAAGTGGCAAAAATTTTGTTTTAAAATGACAGCGATGAATTCATTCATTACTTATTATTATAGTCAAATTCAAAATATGTTTGTTCAATATAGACTTAACTTAAGCTCTTATTGAACGTCAAAAAAAAAACTACCGCCGGTTCACAAGACTAGACCTGAACAGAGAAGAACCGGGCAGAAAACTCTGCGGTGTTGTTATCTTTTTTGTTAATTTTTTGTGATGCAGTTATACAAACTTATTTAGGTATAAAATCACCAGCAGCCAGGGGTCTTGCAAGCGTATAACAAGTCATTTGCACAGATCCTTGTCTTCAATGTATTCTTAGACATTATAATAGACCCTTGCCATTAGGGTAGCTGTTATAAATTGTTTGAAATTGTATATAGGTACTTACTTGTTTGATATTGATGACATGTGCTACATGTGCTAGTGAACATGTGCTACATGTGCTAGTGAACATGTGCTATTCTACACTTTTAATAAACATATCAACTTTTGAACATCGTATCAACGTTTTTTGACTACTATACAATTTTCCTTATTACCAACATTGTTAATAAAAAAATAAAATAAAAAATAAAATAGCCTTTTTGCTGCTTCTATACCTTACAATTAACAAATGCCTACCTACTATAAACTAAATTTATTTAATCAATTACAACATAAATCTTTTGAATAATCGGCAACAAGATGTTTGTGTGGAACAGCTTGTCTGTCGACAAAGGCCTTCTCCAAAGATTTCCACGTATTCCTGTCTCTTGCTAAACGGATCCATACCGGACCAGCTATTTTCTTGAAGTCATCTTTCTTTTGCCATCTCTTGGATACCATTCTGTTATTAACTTAGTCCATTTCTCTTCACTTTCTTTTAACATATGTCCCGTCCAACGCCATTTGAGCTGTCTGTAGGCTGTGTGTGCATTTTTAAATTTTCCTATCTTTTTAATTTCTTGTAATTTCACTCTGTCACTTCTTTTTATACCTAAAAAACTCCTTTCTATTGCATTTTGGAAGACTTTTAATTTACTTTCTTGTACTTCTGTTAACGCCCATGTCTGGCATCCGTAAAGGAAGCATGGCATAATGCATATTTCGTATACTTTCTTTTTTCCTTTCATTGACATATCTTTATCCTTCATTATTTCTTTAAGAGACCAAAACCGTTTCCAAGAATTAGTTATTCTTCGTTCTATTTCTTTATTCATACAATCATCTGTAGATATAAGTTGGCCCAAATATATATATTCATTTACATATTCTATTTGTTCGTTATTTACTGTTATTTTTGGTTGCTTACTGTGTGTTGGGAATTCGTCATGATTTTGGTTTTAGTTGGGTTCATTGTCAGGCCGGCCTTAACACTTTCATCGGATAATTGCTGCAACATTAGTCCCAGAGTTCCAGCATCCTCTGAGAACAAAATTAAATCATCCGCGAAGCGTAGATGGTTGAGATTTTCGCCATTTATATAGAGACCATTTTTGGCCCAGTTTAATTTCCTGAATCATCTCCAACACTACTGAAAATAGTTTCGGTGATATAGGATCTCCTTGACGTACACCTTTTTTATAGGAAATTCGTTACCAGTAGATTCAAGTTGGACTTGTGCTGTGCTCGCTGTGTATACGTTTTTAATTATTCGTATATACTTTGCTTGTACTCCTGATAGTTTTGCTCTAACTATTCTATGATCTGAATTAAAATTAAAATTGTTTAAAATAGACAAATCTTTAAAAACTTTTACATTGTTAGACATAATGTAGTCGATCTCATTCTTATATATGCTATTAGGAGAGATCCATGTCCATTTCTTTGATGGTTTCTTTTTGTAATAGCTGTTTAGGATGCTTAATTTATTTTCAATGGCAAAAGATACTAGTCGTGAGCCATTTCTACTTCTATTGCCAAATCCATAACTTCCTATGGTATTTTCTTCTCCTCTTTTTTGTTTGCCAATCTGACCATTAAAGTCGCCCATCACTATTAAGTTTTTGGATGCATTTGCAATGGCGGATCGTAGGTCTTCGTAGAATTTTTCGATTTTTGTTATGTCTTCTTTTCTATTTGATTCGGTAGGCGAATACGCCTGGATTATAGACCATACTTGATCTTTCTCACCATCTAAAGGTAATTGAATGTTGAGAAGTGCAATCCGTTCTGAAATCCCTCTTATTTCTTGTATATTTTTGGCAAGATTTCTTTTAACCATAAATCCGACTCCATATAATCCGGGAGTCTGCCCAATATGGTGTAGTATGTATTTTCCATGATCTTCTATTCTTTCCCCAAATCTTCTCACTTCACTAATACCAGTTATGTCCCAATTTATTTCATCCAATGCTAATTCCAGTTCTTGCAGTTTTTCTGTGGTTCCTAGTGATCGACAGTTTATGGTTGCTATATGTGTATCATAACATTTCCTTTCATTCCTGTTATTTTTTATCTTTAGAGGGTCGTGGTCATTTTCTCCCACGAGGACCAGTGGGCTTGGGGGAGGTTGCTGGTTTCTAATTATTTTATGTTTTACATTTTTATGTTGTTGTTTTTTCCGGTTGCCGATAACTAATGGTTATTGCCTATTACCCGCCGTAGAAGAAGAGAGAGAGTTGGATCGGACTCTCATAACATCAAAAGCGTTACGCCTATTGTTTTGTGATGGCGTCCAGACTTTTTTTTCTTGTGTATTGTTTTGCGGCGATGAAGATATTTCTCTCTTTCTTTTATCATTGGTAGTATAATTTTCCTTTACTACAAGCTTTACTACAAGCTTGTCATATTTAATATAGGCGAAATTTCCTTTTTTTCTTTCTTCTTTCAATTTATTTTGTAACATTTTTTGTAGAATAATCCTCGGTGATATATATATCTTTGAGATATTTCCGGACTTTCAGTACCTCATTTTTCTTCCATAAATTGACAAAGGAAAGTAGAACAGGACCAACATTGTTAACTACTACAAATTGGAGATGTTTTAAATGAGTATACCTTTACCGAATAAAACATTTTATTAAAATTATTACTTCAGCAAACTGCAAGAACCAAAATTCGTTTAAAACAACACGCGGAGCTGTAACACTGAAACAGTAAAAGAAAGCACTTATAAACTTTTCGCCTTATGGCCCGAGAAAGTGAACTCATCCAATTATTCTTTAAAAAATGTTTTGGACCGTTAAGTTTAAGTGTTTTACTTTCTATGTGTTTCTTTGGATGATAACAATTTTTTTAGAGGTTAAAACATAGTAGCTCGTAGTATTAGAAGTACTGTTTTAGTTGAGTTATAGATTGTGTATGACGATATATATTTTAGGAAATTATGCTTATTATTGTTTAAGCAGCTGTATATTTTAATTTCGGCGCTTAAAACTCATACTGTGTTAAAAAATCTTCGGCTCTATCCCAGGATTGTTTAATCTTATCAGTTTGTTTAAATCGGTTTTAATGGGCTAATCCCTTATCATAAAGATATCAAAATTATTGTTATGACAAATATAAAATTTTGTTTTTCATTACATGAAAGAAATATTAAAACCCCCACCGTTCTCCTAGCTATCTTTTGCACTGATTCACATTGTACTATTATATTTATATGTGCTGTCATTATTTATTTACTATTAATTAAAATCTGCAGAGAGGGTATTCTTCTCGATTTTATTGATTAAAAGTAAAGGTAAGGATTTTGGTAATGAGATTATGAAATAAATTTTATACTTACATTTAATACACCCGTTAGTTAGACTCATTCGCGGATATGTAATGTTCTCATTGCCAGCAGTTCTCTCGCATTAACAGATCATTTGATTTAGAATCATTATAGGAATAGGCAAATGTGTCTGTCTCCTACAGGGGTGGTGGTTGTCGATGAATCGAAGTTTCGGCCTATTTAGACCAAAATAGAACTGTAATTGAAATGAGCATGGTTGATTGAAACGGGGCGAAATTAAAATCAGTCCTTAATTGTCAATTTAATAAATTACATGTAAAATTAATACAAATTTCTATAATTTATTTCATTTGTGATATGTAAAATAATATAATATTAGCACTTTAATCTTTTTATTGATCTTTGGATTCGTAGTCTTCTTCTATTTAGAAAAAAAAAGTGAAATTACAATGCCTAATTTAGTTTTTATTCTGAAAATGTGCTTATGCATTTTTTTTTGCAAGAATTTTTTATTTTTTTTTATTTTATCTTATTTGGTACATAGAACAGCAAACAGTACAATAATCTTAACAATAATCTTAATAATGGCAACTTATACACACTGTCCGCCAAAAATATATGTACACTACATGCTTCGGTATAATTAAACAATATTAAGTTATAAATTAAAAAGCCAAAAGACAAAGGTATTGAAAGTAACTACTTAAATAAAAGTAAAAAAAATAAAAAAAAAAAATATAAAAACATTATGTGCCTCGAATTCTTCGTTTGAATGCACTCAGCTTCTGATGGAATATATCTACTGATTCATCAATGGTTGTAAGTTTGTTGTACAAGGAACACATTTTAGAGATAGGGTTATTTTGGGCAAATTTGGTAGATGCTAGTGGAATATAAAATAATTTGGCATTACGACTACGATGGTTTGTATTCATGCCTATTTTAGGTAGTAACTCAGAATGGGCCACTGAGTTAACAATTTTGTACAGAAGTACCAAAGAAAAATGCT